ACCGAGCGATCGCACCGGTACGGCAAAAAATGTTTTCAAAAATATCAGAGTAGTCGTCACCAAAGTTTATTTTAAGAAAACCTTAGAAAAACTTTAAAATAATATGATTTTTGAAACAAAAAATGAGTTTGAGAGTCATTTACATGTAGGAAAGATATTAGCACCTTACAACGTCCGTTTAACAAACGGTTACCTTAAATTAATTATGTAAATTCATTTTAATTTTAAAAAATATTTATTTAATCCCTAAACATTGATTATTTGCATTTTTATTTTAAAATAAGATAAATTATTTATTAAAATGTTAATGGATCCCTTAAAAATTTATTTTAAAAATTATTTTGACTTGACGGGTATGGTTCCGCTCCTACGTATCCCAAAGTGTAATAGAAAACTCTTATAATTCTTGGACAATCGAAAATAATGTAAATCACACATCGATGATGTATAATAAAATAAAGAAATAAATTTAATTTATCAAAAATAATAACTTAATTTTATTTAGTGAGATGAATAATATTTAAAAAGAGAAACAAAAATATATTTAAATTAATTGGTAAAGATGATTATTTAATTAAGAGATATTAAAAAATATCGAATAAGCTTGTATTGCATGAGATCAAAGGTAACGTTAGTATACAAAGATTTCAACGATTTAAAACGTATAAAGATAAAGACGCTACACAACAACATTATAAATCGTTGCACTCAAATGATTATTTAAATTAATTCAATAAATTAATTAATAATTTCATAATTAAAAGAAAAATACATAAACGATCTATATTTGATTAAAATTATTTATTTAATTTATTAAAGTTAATACATATTAGATTTTTATTGTATAAGACTTAGGTAATGTAGGTATATATAGGCCTTACCAATTTATAACACATAAGGATAGATAAACTATACGTTTGTGTTATAAATTGTTGCATTAATTAAATAAAATAATTTTTATTTAATTAATAAATTATATTTAAATATAAGACAAAAATAAGAAATAAAAATAAGAAATAAAAATGTTTAAGAGAGTACGATAATAACAAAAAATATTGTACTTTACCCTTCATAAATCATATACTATTACGCTATATTAGTGTTAATTAAGTAATTGCATATGTGTCAAAGAAATACAATATATCTTCTCCAAAAAAAAAAAAGTAACATTATTTTTTTACTAAAAAAAAAAACGACACATAATACACAAAAGCTACAGTAAAAAAATATAAAATTTATATCAACACATTATACACAAAAAGTGTAGTAAAATGTATAAAATTTATATTGGATGGACATATATGCAAACTAACAGCTTACAAAAAAAATAAATAAATAAAATATAAATAATTTTATGAGAAATAAGTATCTAAAATATTTATTAAATAAGTTTAAATTAATGAATTAATCCTTTATTAATTAAAAAAAAGGTCTCATAAAAAATCTGCATTTATTTAAGCCTTAAAAGAATCATCCTAACATAGAAACCAAATTATTCAAGAAGTGATCCATTAAAAAACAAAAACAACGAAAAAAAGAAAATAAAAAAATGAAAACACTTCAGCCATGTCATATTTTCAGAAGGGTACACATTCATTGATCCAAAACAATTTGCATACGCTATTCATTGTGTAAAACCTATGTCCATCAAAATATCTAATATTTAAAAGTTGGTCAGGGATAATGATTCTGCGTTCTAAATAAAGATTTCCTGTATATTACTTACATGCAGAATAACTCTAAATCATAACATCTAACATCGTAAAAACTCATTTAAGCTAGTAAATATGTACGAGTTTCAAATTGCTGAGGTTTCGTAGATATAAAGGAAAACCAAAAATTTAAATGAAATATGAAATAACAGGAAAGAAGAAAGAAGCAACTAGCAATAACTATTAGGTTGTGACACAGTAGAATGCAAAGGAAATAGAGTTGCCTCCTTTTTGCCAAAACCACCCTTCAATTTTTTTTCAACCCCTCTTCTCTGTTGGTTCCCCTTATATCCGTGAGAGTCTCCCTTTTTTTTTATAATAATAATTTTTTATTTACAATGCTAGAAACAAAACCTATATCAGACACGTTTCCCCTTTTATGTATAAAGAAATGGTCTTTGGTGCTGCCTTTCAATTATGTAATGTTTAATTTTCCCATTGGAAGTCAAATTTGTTTTATTCCAAATTTGTGAAGACCAAACTTTTTATTTCAAAAAAATAATTTGTCTTCATTCCTTCTTTTTTTTTTTTTAAAAAAAAATTAGACTTTTTCTTTTACAAAATAAAACTATAAATATATAAAAACTTTTAGACCAAAATGAAGTAAAAATAAAAAATAAAAAAATAAAAAATAAAAAAAATGAGTATTCATAGTTGTCCCTCTTTACTCAATTCTTATCACATAATATGTATAAACAAGCTTTCATATTAGAGTGATAAGGATGGAGTAAAGATGTGAATATAATATGAGAGGCTAGCAGATGAGCCATGATTTATAATGGTTTGTGTCAAACAAATATTAACAAAAATTTTGAGGCAACATTGAGCTTTGATTAAAACAAGTTTTGTCAGGCAGATATTCGGTTTAAGTTGAAAATAAAAGTTGTCAGTGAAGTACTATACTTTGTTAGAAGAGTAAAGATATTAGTTAGATTCTAGAATTTAAAAGAAGAGTGAATGAGGCCAGTCAGTTTTCATACTTTTAAGAATAAAACAAAAATGTGTCAGGCAAGCTTAAACTTAAATAGAAAGATAAAAGATGAATGGTGTCAGTCAGGCTCTAGATTCTGATAGAAAAGTAAAATGTCTTAGTTAGGTTCTAAATTTTGATAAAAAAGTAAAAGGTGTTAGTCAGGTTCTGGGCTTTGAAAGAAAAGTGAAATGTGTCAGTCAGGTATTGGGCTTTGACATAAAAATGGAATGTGCTAGGTAGGTTCTGGACTATGAGAGAAAAGTAAAATGTGTCGGGCAAGTTCTGGGCTTTGACAGAAAAGCGAAGAGGTGCTAGTCAAGTGTTGGACTTTGACAGAAAAATAAAATGGCGCCAGTCAAGGCTGGGCTTTAACAAAAAAGTAAAATGTGCCAGGTAGGTTTTGGTCTTTGATAGAAAGGTTAAATGTGTCAGGCAGATTCTGGGCTTTGATAAAAAGTGAAAATGTGTCAGTCAGGTACTGGGCTTTGAAAAAAACGTAAAGAGGCTTGAACAAGAAAGGTAAAAAGAAAGAAAAATAAAAATAAAAATAAAAGGTCAATCATGTTCTAGATTACAAAAAAAAAAAAAAAGGACAGTCGGACTCTGAACTTTAACAGTAAAAGTAAGACAGAAAAATAAAGAGATTTTTCAGCTTTTGAATTTTGATGAAAGGTAAAGAACTCAGTTAGATCATAGTCTTGGACTGAACATAAAGGTTGTAAGGCAGATAATGAATTTAAATTAAACTTCAAAAGGTGACAATAGATAAAAGCAAATGCATGCTAATGTAATGATGCGATTGCATAAACTGGATGAATGTTAACACTTGGAATGAAATTATTGAATGATGAAGTCAAATGCTATGATGAGACTTATTAAATCAAAACAAACTCTCTATCCTTTCTTCTTTTTTTTTTTTTTGGGGGGGGAGGGAATAGTAATCTTTCAACCTTATTGGAACATACACCTTAAGGTTAATGAATGAGTATGCTCTTCGGTCAACATCAATTCTTTCATGAGATCTGAACTGGGTGAGACATGAATCAAATTGGATTGCCATTTATTTTTGAATTGTCATAAGGAGACAACTTCTTCTGTCACGCTAAACTTATCAGGAGATTCATCGAACTTACTGTGTGGATTTTTAAAGCTTATTATTGTAATCATATTTTCTTATTACCTTTTTAATAGTTTGCATGTTTCTTTTTAGTATATAATTATTGAAATGACAATAAAAATGTTGGTTAATGCTGTTGAAGAAGTTGAGTAAACAAAGTGGTGTATATAAGCTGAATGGAAAGTGACAAAAGTCAGAGATAAATATTTTTTGAAAAACAAGATGACTGTAATAAAGAAATGGTGAATTTACAAAGAGGACTTACAACATATCAGAAAAACAAATACATTAAACAAAAGATCAGAATAACTACAAGAATAATGAAGCATTATGCCAATTAATTGACGTCTTTCAGATGAACAATGTTAATCTCTCATGTAAATTGATTAACCATTAGTAAAAACTACCAAATAAAATTACCCCAGTGTGATATTTTGAATTCATCTTTTGTTTGATTCAACTTCAGCCTCTCAAAATTGCCCCAATTTAGTATTTCAGTCCATTATATTTTGCAACTTGAACCACTTTCTTGCAACTGAAGTTAGTGCACCTTCTGAACTGCCCTTTTAGGTTTTCAGTTCAGTGTAGTATTTATTTGACCTTAATTTTTGCCTGAGCCACTTTTTCGAGTTTTCAACTCACCAGATCACTCTAACCTTTGCCTAGGTCGCCCTTTCGGGTTTTCAACCTAACGAGCTATTTTCTTTTTTCTTTTTTTTCTTTTTTTTAAATTATTTTTTAAGCATAATATTTTTTGACAGCATCAGAATTGATGAGATTTGGAAGATATTGTCTATCCATGTTTGTGAGGATTAAAACTCCTCTGAAGAAAGCCTTTTTTTACCACACAGAGTCCTTCATAATTTGGAGACCACTTGCCACGATAATCTTTATGCGTTGGCAAAATTTTTTTAAGCATCATATCTCCCTCATTGAATTCTTTTGGACGAACCTTTTTGTCAAAAGCCTTCTTCATTCTTCTTTGGTATAGTTGACCATGACATAATGCATTCAATCATTTCCCTTCAATGAGATTCAATTGATCAAAACGTGATTGAACCCATTTTACTTCCTCCAATTTGGTCTCCATGATTACCTTTAAAGAGGGAATTTCAACCTCAATAGGAAGTATTGCTTGCATTCCATATACCAAAGAGTATGAAGTTGCCCCAGTTGAAGTACGAACCGAAGTTCGATATCAATGTAAGGCAAATGGCAGCATTTCATGCCAATCCCTGTATGTCACCACCATCTTTTGAATGATCTTCTTAATATTTTTATTGGCTGCTTCAATTGCTCCATTCATCTTTGGGCAATAGGGGGAAGAATTATGATGTCGAATCTTGAAATTGTCACACAATTCTTTCATTATTTTGTTGTTCAAATTAGTGCCATCGTCTGTTATCAACTTGCTTGGGAGGCCATACTGACAGATCAAATCCTTTTTAATGAATCTCTCCACCACATTTCGGGTCACACTAGCATATGAAGTAGCCTCAACCCATTTTGTGAAATAGTCAATAGCAACTAGAATGAAGCGGTGACCATTAGAGGCTTTAGGTTCAATGGGTCTAATAACATCAATGTCTCACATTGAAAAAGGCTAGGGCAATGATAAAACATTCAAATTTGTTGGGGGAACAATAATATTGTCAGCATATGTATGACATTTATGACATGTCTTCACATAACGAAAACAATCGGCCTCCATTGTCAACCAATAATATCCAGCCCTTAGAATCTTGTTTGCCATGACATGTCCATTGGCATGAGTCCCAAATGAACTTTCATGAATCTCTTCTATGATCTTTCGTGATTCTGAAGCATCCACACATCTAAGTAGAACCATATCATGATTCCTTTTGTATAACACATCTCCATTCAAAAAGAAATTCATTGCTAACCTCCTCAATGTCCTTTTGTCATTTTCAACAGCATTTAATGGGTATTCTTGGTGTTTTAGGAAATTTTTAATGTCATGATACTAAGGTTTACCATCATATTCTTCTTCAAACATTTGACTATAGGTAGAATGATTAAGCTGTTGCATCTTTATGAACAATATGTCTTTTTTTTTACTCACTACAAACACTAATGATAAAATGGCTAAAGCATCAGCCAATTGATTCTCCTCACGAGGAATATGCTGAAAAGTAATTTCTTTGAAATACTCCACCAACTCTCTGATATAGGCTTTATAAGGGATCAATTTGGCATCGTGAGTCTCCCATTCACCTTTCAGTTGGTGAATGGCCAAGGCTGAGTCACCATAGACCTCAAGAATTTTGATCTTTGACTCTATAGCGGCTTGAATCCCCATAACACATGGTTCATATTCAGCTACATCATTCATACAATCAAATGATAATCTAGCTGTGATCGGGATATATTGCTTCTCTGGAGAAATCAATATAGAACCAATCCCGTGTCTGAGTGCATTAGAAGCACCATCAAACATCATGACCCATTCGTTTTTTGCTAAAGATTCTTTCTCATTAAACAACGCCATTATATTTTCATCAGGAAATTCATATTGTATTGATTGATAATCATTCACCGGTTGATGAGCTAAGAAATCTGCAAGAGCGCTGCCTTTGATTGCATTTTGAGTAACATACATAATATCATATTCTGACAATAGGACCTGCCGATGAACAATCCTTCTAGTAAGGGCTGGTTTCTCAAAGATGTATTTGATTGGGTCTGTTTTTGACACTAACCAAGTTGTGTGACTCAACATGTATTGCCTTAATCTGCGAGCTACCCAAGCCAAGACACAATAGGTTCGCTCCAACAAAGAGTATCTAGCTTCTTAATCAGTGAATTTCTTGTTCAAGTAATAAATGGCGTGCTCTTTTGGACTCGATTCATCATATTGACCTAAAACACATCCCATGAATCCTTCTAACACTGTCAAATACATAATGAGCGGCTTCCCTGGCATTGGCGGCACCAATATCAGAGGATTTTGTAAATACTGCTTTATCTTCTCAAAAGTTTCTTGACAATCCTCATTCCATTCCATTGGTTGATTTTTTCGTAACAACTTAAAAATTGGTTCACAAGTGGCAGTTAGTTGGCATATGAATCGGGCAATATAATTCAATCTCCCCAAAAATTTGCGAACCTCCTTTTCAGTGCGAAGAGGTGACATTTCAATGATTGCTTTTACCTTGTTAGGATCAACCTCTATTCCCTTTTGACTGATTATGAACCCCAACAACTTGCCTGATTTCACCCCAAAGGTACATTTGGCAGGGTTTAACCGCAATTTGAATTTCCTTAACCGCTCAAACAACTTGTGTAAATTTACAACATGGTTTTCTTCAGTCATTGATTTGGCAATCATATCATCCACATAGACTTCAACCTCCTTATGTATCATATCATGAAATAATGTCACCATCGCCCTTTGATATGTTGACCCAACATTTTTCAAACCAAAAGGCACGACCTTGTAGCAAAAGGTGCCCCAAGGTGTAATGAATGTGGTTTTCTCCATATCCTCTTCAGCCATTTTGATCTGATTGTAGCCCGAGTAACCATCCATGAAAGAGAAGAATGAATGTTAAGTTGTATTATCTACTAGCACATCAATATGAGGCAATGGAAAATTGTCTTTAGGGCTGGCTCTATTTAGATCTCGATAGTCAACACACATCCGAACCTTTCCATCTTTCTTAGGAATTGGCTCAATGTTGGCCACCCATTGGGGGTATTTGGCAAGGGCAAGGAAACCCGCATCAAATTGCTTCTTAACCTCCTCCCTAATTTTCAATGACATCTCAGGTCTCATTCTCCTTAATTTTTGCTTAACTGGGAAACACTCTGGCTTCAGTGGCAATTTATGCTCGACTATATCAACATCTAGGCCTGGCATATCTTGATAAGACCATGTAAAGACATCACTATAATCTTGCAAGAGTTTAATCAACTTGTCGCACTCTTATTTTTTCATGAGGGTGCTTATTTTGATTTATCTCTTATCATCTTCAGTCCCTAAATTAATCGTCTTAGTGAGTTCATCATAAGGTTGGATCTGTTTCATTTCTTGATCAACCAATCTTAGAAATTCTGAGGATAAATCAATATCACTATCATCTTCGACAGCTTGATTAAGGGGACAATCAAAATTAGTGGATGAGATATTAGCGATAGCTTATATTTTGTTCCCACATTTTTAGTCTTATTGCATCCTTTACATGTCTTTTCATTCCCTTATTTCTTCAATTTAATATGTTTTTGCATTTATCATGTTAATTAGGAATTTTCGTAAATACTATACTTTTGTTCATGTTTTCTATTCTGACCTTTAGTTACTAATTTGGCCATAACTTTTTCTGTAGATATCCTTTTTGGCTCATTCTTTTTGCATTGGATTCCTTACTTCCAGGGCTTCAGTTTTGTAATAACTTTCTCGCTTCCAATAGAACCTCTGAAGTTTTTTCATATTCTCTTCTTCTCTTTCAATTTTTCTTTTCGAATTTGCATTGCTCTACATTTTACAATTGAAAGGCGATTAGTTTCTGCAATTTTCAGATGATTTCTTCCATGTTTCTTCTCCAATTACGTTGCCAAAGTTCAGATCGCATTTGTTCAAGACGTTTTTGATGCTCTGAGTTTGTTTTCTGATCTCACTTTTGCGATTGCATAGAAGCATTGTTCAATTGAATTGTGCATTGTTCTTAATCGTATAATAAGCAATAGATTAATTGTTTGTTGTGCGGAAGAGATTTAAACAATTCAATTTTTATTCTCAGATTTGGATTTGTGTGTTTTGGATCTCGGTTTGAATTCTTAAATTGATCGTATGTGATTACTTGCATTACAATTTACGTTTGATTCATTGCGTTTAATTCTTTGCATTTAATTCCCTACGTTTAATTCCCTGCGTTTAATTCTCTACATTTAATTCCCTGCGTTTGATTCTCTGCAATTTAATTTTCTGCATTTAATCATAAAACTCCCCCAAACATAAACGTTTTCTGCATAATTGATATTGAAACAATGTGCATTTGCATCCTTGTGAGAGATGACCTAGGTTGCTCCCTAAACTACATGTTTTTGTGAGGAATTTAGTTACTTTTGATACCTTAGCGACACGGTTATCAATTAGCACTGTTACTTTCATACATGTCACTTTCAAATCTGCATTGTGTGAGAGTTGAGACAAAAAGAAAATAAACGACAAGATTCAAGCAATAAGGAAAGAAGACACAAAAAGGTTGTTGAGAAATCAAATTGCATTTCATTTAAAAATATAGTTAAAAGGAAACATGCGTCCCAACTTACAAAACAAGCTGGTATTTTAAATTACAAAAAGAAACCATATATTAATCTTTTCAAAGAGTAATGATATCCTAAAGCTTTGGGACAAAACAATAGGATTAGCTTCAATGATTACTTTGAATAGGCATTAAAAATCACAAGAAGTTCAATGATCTCCCAATTGCCAACTTCTATGTTTAGTGGACAAATGTGAACTATGTTCACAACCTCTTCTCTAGGTACATCTTCATCAGCAGCAACTACTGAGTCTTGAAACTCAAATCCAGCACTATAGAAGCTTTTTAGAAGATCAGAAATGGGGACCCCTTCAATCTTAGGCTCCTTACCTTCCAACCTGGCTAATCTTCTTTCTTTCTTTTCCTCCACGACTCTTCTCTTATAAGCTTTAGTGGGCGTGTATCCCAACCCAAATCTATCCTCATTCTCATGGAGTTGTAGCCATTTTGTTATTTTCGACATGACTTGCCCTAACATGTATCCATACTGACAACCTCCATCAAGTATGACTTTAGTAGTCATTATGGATGTATTAGACAATCGAGACTTTAGGATTGAAGCTCCTTCTCCAGCATAAGTAGCATTCGCAATCTCTAAAGCTTGAAAAGAAGTCTCTAGAGCTTCTTCAACAGCTTCTTCAACAACTTCAACGTAAGGAGTGAATGAAGGCTTACTTACTAACACATCTTCTTCACTAGAGACAATCACCAACTTATTGTCAATGATAAACTTTAGTTTTTGATGCAACGTAGATGGTACAACTCCAGCAGAATGAATCTAAGGCCTCCCTAAAAGGCATCTATAAGCTGGTACAATTAGGGATGGCAATGGGTAAAGTACCTGATGGGCACCCGCAAAATTTACCCACAATGGGTAAGGTATTTACCCGTTATACGGGTACGGGTATGGGTGTGGATAAAAACCCGCAAATTTTAATGGGGATGGGTGTGAGTATGGGTATCTAAGTACCCACCCTGCCCCATACCCGCATATATATATGTGCTTGAACTTTATTCTACAATTATGCATTGAATTTTTGTATTATTGTATTACTTATGTGAAGTTATATAAGATTAATATAAAAATATATTTAATAATAAAGTAAACCAAAAAATTTATTTTAGTTTATATTTTTAATAGAAAAATTTATTTACTATTTTATATCATTTAATTAGGCTAACACAATTTAATTATTACATAGTTAATATGAGATTGACTTTTTTTAAAATATTATTTATATATGACACACATAAAATATTTTTTACACAAATATTTTTGTTAATAAAATCATATTGATGTTTAAATCATAAAGTGAATGATAAATTATAAATATATTATAAATATTTTATAAATTTTACAATCACCTACTATTACCGTAAATTTATTATTTATTAATAATATTTAAATTTTATTTTTATATTTTAATTTAAAATAATATTTTTCTATGCAACATATGTATTACAAGCACAACTATAATCTATTGAATCTAAATAATATTATTCTTACTATTTATTCACATTCAAAGAAGTTTTTGAAAAGATATAAATATAAAAAATTATTGTTAATTTTTATTTAAGATAAAAAAGTATAATTTTTTTAATATACACATATATTTCTTTATTATAAATTTTTAGTGTAACTATTTATCTTTTATTCAAATTCTTTTTTTTAAATTTATATACATTATAAATATTTAATTCACTAAAATAATTTTTCAAAAATTTAGATTTTTGATAAAATACTTTCGTATAGTATGAGTTAAAAAATACTAGTATTAATATATATATATATATATATTAATTATATTATATTTTATTATTTTAATTAAATCTATTATTTTTCTTACAATTTCAAATTCAAAAGTTAAAAAAATATATTTTATGTATTAACTTTCTGTTGTTAGTATTGAATTTCTCTACTCTATCTCTATTCTCATTCTCAATGTCTGTCTCACTAAAACTTAATAACTATGAAATGTTATTCATTAGAGTTAGTTGTCAATGCTGTCACAAGAGGTTACTAAGTGATCCCACACGAAGGGATAACCATTGTACAGATCTATTTCGTTGTCGCTCTGACATTACCAATTAATCAAATCTCACACAAGATAGGATTATCACTGACAAATAACTTGTGTGTTTAGTTTTGCTTATTGTTTTTAAGAATTTTAATTTAGAAAATTATTATATTAAGATACATTTAACATTTGTGATATTTGAATATTTGTTTTTTATCTATGTTTGTACCTTGTTCGGCAACTACATATTGAATTTTTGTATTATTATGCTACTTATGTGAAGTTATATAAACATATTTTTCTTTATAAATATTTTTTTCTCAAACAAGCGCGGGTAATGGGTACAAAACAGGTATGCAGGTACCCAGAGGGTACGGGTACGGGGATTAATGTTCATACCCACGCGAGTATGGGGCCGGATACAGGTATTTTTTTAA